TGGCTGTACAGGGTTACAACTACACTGTACAGTTCAGGGGTTTGTTCTGAATGAGTTAGCTTGGGTTACCATGAGTCCTGTGTAGCTGTGGTAGCATGGTACTCACCTGGGGCTAATTGGCATTGCTGTGAAGCAAAATATGTAAATTGGGGAGTCAGCATGCGAACACAACTGTTGTGCTTCTAGTGTTCAGCTAGCTCTGGTATTGCCATATGGTCCTGTATGGTGCCACGTAGACGTACCCTTCATTTCTTTCCTTGTGTGAAATGGGCTAGGAAGCTAGCTAATATGTCATGGACTGGAAGAGTCCACAGGGAGTGCTAAATGACATTCAACCCTTTTTTTATTTCCTTCATTTGCCCCCTAGTTTTCAACTGCCTTGCATTCCAACTTTAGGTAGTTTTTTAAAAGGGAATTAAATACCTCAGTGTCTCTGCAAATCAGTTGGATTTAAGCTTTCAAGCACTCAAGTTGCTTCTGAAAATAGGACTTAAACTCTTGTCACTCAGGCACTTCGTAAGACCCTTTAAAATAGCTCTGATTCTTTGTGGGCTACATTTTTTGTCCAAGTTTCAGCCAGAGGTTTTAAAATAGATTTTATTGCGCCCAATGTAATGCCTTAAAATGTTAACACTAATAGGAGAAGATTCAAGCAAAAAAATTAGGGTTGGGTAATCTCAGAGCAAAAAAAAAAAAAGTCTGCTTCTTAATTTGTCTATCTGTTATGTAAGTTGCTTTGCTTTTCATGGGATCTTAGTTTGTAGAGCACTTTTGAGATCTTTAAGATTAAAAGGACTATGGAAATGTTCCTTAAACCTACTTTAATAATGGAAGGGAAGAAATGTAGTTCTATTCTAGACTGAGCAGTTGTATTTGAAAAGTCCTGCATGTTGTTAGTGTTGCTACTCTCCACAGGTTGCGTTCTTCTAATACAGGCAGTCCTTGGACTTACGACACCTATTGGTTCCTGAAAACCACGTCTTAAGTCTAAATGGTAATTTCGACCACCCTTCACTGTAAATGGCCACCCTTCAGTGTAAAGGTGGCGAGAGCCTAGAATAGGCTCCCCGAGAGGTGGTGCTCTCACCTTCCCTGGAAATCTTCCAGAGGAGACTGGATAGGCACCTGGCTGGGGTCTTATGACCCCCCCCCACCCCCAGTGGTCAGACTAGATGATCTGTCTAGGTCCCTTCCTGCCCACGGCGGGGGGTCAGACTGGATGTCTAGGTCCCTTCTGACTCATTGATTCTATGGTGTAACTTGGAACTGATTTTTTCCCATAGGAACAATGTTATAAATGAGGGATTGGTTCCTGAACCAAGGCCTGATACCTGTTTTTCAATCATATTGACCTAAAACATCACCACATAAAAATGGTGTTGGAACAGCAACTGAATGTCTTGAGTCAGGGAGATGTGTAGTGAGGCGGATCAGCACAGGGAGATGGGCAGCACAGCAAACTTGTTCACTGGCATGGCGTTGCGTCAGATCGAGCGTCTTGAGTCAGGAAGTCAGGGAGATGGCATTGTAAAGTCGAAACCAACACTGGAAAGTCGAAATGGGGTGTCCATTTATAAACATTTTAAGTGCCGTTTATTGCAACTCAAACGTCGTAAAGTTGAGGACTGCCTGTACTTGAAAGTGAGGTTCTGATGCTAAAGTAATTGAGAACGCAGACAAGTAACTGGACAAGCTGTGTTTGGTGTAGCTCCCTATAGTTACTTTTTGATTGTAGCAAAGAACATGTGTGTTTTAACTTGCAGAGATCCTTACTTATCACTGTGCCAGCTGTCTCTGTAACCATGAAAGAGAAGTACCTTGACTGGGCCTACAGGACTGGCGGGTATAAGAAAGCAAAGAAAGTCTTTACCAGGTAAAAAATAACAATCTGAAACCTGAATGTCCAAATAGGTGTATGAAAGATTTAAAGTCTAAAAGCTCTTCATGCTTTTATTCTAGCCTACATGAGAATTGTCCCTTTTCACGTGAGTTCTTCAAGCGGATGATCCAAATAGAAAAAGAGCAAGTAAGTGTTACAAATCAATTTGGAATCTCATTGTGAAGAATGTAAGTTATTCCTGTGGAACTGGATAGGAAGCAGTGGTTGTATGAGTAGCATGTAATTAGGTTGTAATCAGTTCATATTTGTCTTTTAAAATAAACTCCTTGCATGTAATTTTAGGCTGAGTTGCATGGTACTTAGTCTTGGATATGTATGCACGTAGAATTAGCAGGACATTGTTTCTTTGCATCTAATTATGCTACAGATTCACTTCCATACACAGGAAATGATCTTTTCCAATTTTCTTTGTTAGGAATCTTGCAAGATGTCTAATCTGAGAGAGTACTATGAACGTGCTTTGAGAGAGTTTGGTTCTGCAGATTCTGGTAAGGCTGCTTTCTTCTTACATGCCACCATAATCTTTCTGCCCATGTGACTATTAATATGCAAAGGGCAGCCTGATAATGCTACTCATACAACCACTGCTTCCTATCCAGTTCCACAGGAATAACTTACATTCTTCACAATGAGATTCCAAATTGATTTGTAACACTTACTTGCTCTTTTTCTATTTGGATCATCCGCTTGAAGAACTCACGTGAAAAGGGACAATTCTCATGTAGGCTAGAATAAAAGCATGAAGAGCTTTTAGACTTTAAATCTTTCATACACCT